CTCTCGAAATGAAAGCATGTTCAAGAAACTAGGAGAAAAGGGCTTTCAGACGATATGCTTAGTTTTTTTATACGATGGATTTCTATTTTGAACCAGCGCTTTGAAAAAGGGGTGTGAAAAACCTGCATTAATTCTGTTACAACCTAATAGCTTGCAAATACGGGATTTTGACAAGGAAGTGCTTTTATAGCTTCGAGCAAAAACTTAAGTAAAAAATCTCGTCCCTCCCCCCTTCCCTCTTCCATCATGGTCTGCTTGCCTCACGCGAGTGTATCTGCTTCAAGTCCTATCATCTTCCTCCCTTTGCGATTGAGAAGAACCGTCAGTCACACCAGAGGCGGTGACTAGACGTAGAGGAGAAGGTCTCAGCTCGAATATCTACGTGACTTCAATGTTTTGCGCATCGCGCTCGTCTGCCGCTTGAGACGTTAATCAGCAGATGGACAGGTGAGAGAGTAGATTTCTGATGTGAAAGCGAGACATCCATAGTTATTCTAAGGGCAAAATTGATAAACAGAACAGAAGAGAGGGATAGAGATTTTAAGCATACAGGGCGTTAGCCTCAGCCCTTTAGCCCTTCTATGACGCCATATACCGGAACTTCTCATCGTAATTTTACAGTAATGAAGAGGACCGGTGATTCGCTCTATACTAAATCTAAGTCGAAACCAGCCCTACAAAGGGTAAAGTTTCTCCAAAGACTTCATGACAAGAGAGCTAATAACGACTAAACAGTAGGCACAATTTTTAAGACACCCTGTTAGCATCGAAATGATACCATCTATTGAATAGGCGTGCCTTTAAAGGCACTCCAAACATCTCTCTCTCTGGTGCAGTGTGCGGACTAATTGCCGGCTTGCAGGCATTCGCGCGGTGTCCCATCATGCGGAGATTGTGCCGCACAGGCAGCTGCCAGCTAGTCAGACAATAACTCGGATGAGCGGCGGGCTTCTACCGGGCGCGATCATGCCTCCCGCCGCTCGTCCTTTGGAGGCCAAGGTACTTCGCCCGCCCGCTGGAGATATAAAGCGGGCGAGCGAAACCTTTAGCGGGCGACCATCATACTTCCCTCCACTCTCCCCCTAATAGTACTCTGCTCGTCCGCTCGTAGATCAGACCGGAACGAGCGGAGTGCGTTTGGCAGGCTACTAATCATGCTTCCCGCCTCCAGCCCTCTCTTTGAGAACTACAAGGATCCGACATCTGGGCCCGTAGTAAACCCCTCCTGGTTGTCACAACATAGAGGGACTATGTCGCGATAGCTCGGAGTATCTCGCAAGACTATAGCAAGCTATCCGGAGGGCGCCGCAAAACGATCGTCTCTGCGCGTCATCGAAGCGCTGATAATCGCGATAACAGCGCTCACACGCACTGCGCTATGAGTACCGATATGCACTGCGGCATTTGCTTTGCAAGGCAAGAATGCAACATACTATTCTTGCCAAAGCAGGTAAATCAATCAGAGAAAATCCAATAAATGACTATCCTCGCGCGAGCGCGCCTATTTCTTCATTTTTAATTCGTTATCTTATGTTTGCATGCATTAATAGGGTAGCGCAGCTGATCTATGTGTCTTGCAGAATTATGATTCTTGCGCACCGTGCTGTGAGAAGGAGCGCCAATATTCGCTACGACAGGACCATATTTGACTCTTCTCAATGAAATTTGGGCGTGCCAGCCGCGTGTCAGCCCGTGTCGGATTCGTGCCAGCTCCTTCATAATAAATCGCATCCTTTATAACCTCTTAACCGGGCGTGCCAGCCCGTGCCAGATTCGTGCCAGCCCGTACCAGATTCGTGCCAGCTTCGTGCCAAGGCACTGATGGTCTAACAGCGCACACGTTCGCTGCGCTGTATACTACTACGCCATCCTTTGCTAGGGAAAGGATACACGTAGCAAATAGAGCAGTTGCAGCAAATCAGTATGGGAAAACGATACGCACGCCTGCTTATTAAGTACTAGCTGGCAAACCCGGCTCCGCCCGGCCCTGTCATTATTATATTCGTAATCAGCATGCTCGATTACCCCCCTGTGCCAACTCCCAGCCCCGTAGCTCAAATTTTGCAAAAAATCGATAAAATCGATATCGATCGATAACGAAAAGTAGCCTATGACACCCGCCGGGGCCCGTAGTGTATGTGTGCCAAGTTTGGTCCAAATCGGTTCGGAAATAAAAATTTCTATTCCGCACATACGTACAGACATACATACATACATACAGACAGACAGACATTCAGCTTTATATATAAGATTGTTGAAGGGTTAGTTACTACTTTTGCAATTATTGTGAAACAGCTTATATAAGGAACCTCAACATAGCATACATACGTTGGGGGTGAAAGTTCCATGCTACACTGTCTTTTGCATTTTGCTGGCAAACTGAATTTTGCAACGGAACGTGAATCAGAATTTCCATTTAAAAAAGAGAAAGTGGAATTTGAGACGTACAATACATATGGAAAATGCACAAGAAAAATCAAAATAGTATCATCAGCAATCAGTCCGTTCAAAAATGGGCTATTCCATCAGCCATAACGCCAGACGGTCTTTTCTCACAAAAACGAAAGGAAACGAGAGGTGCATGGCTAACGAACAGCAAGTCAGCAAGGATATGTGGTCGAAACTACCCCAAGATTGAAGAAAAGATCAAGAATTTGCAAAATTTCGGCACGAAGAAGGGATTCCTTGCTCAAACAAGGTGCATTGCCAAATAAAAGAAGAAAAACTGCATAGGTACGAAAAATATGGCTAAGTATGAGTCTAATATATTTTTTAGTCAAAACAAACTCACCATTTTCAAATTCCAAAGCGGCAGCAGCAGAAGCACTTAGAGAATAGGGAGAGGCGCATTGCTCGGACTGTTAGGCGGCTATCAGCTGTTGATATTGATTGCAGTTGACGTGCACTGCAGAGAACTGTGTGCATGTGCGACCTATTGCGAGGTTGGCGTAGTCGAGCTCTAGTCTTGCGCTATGTCTCTGCGTCTCCATACTGAACAAAGTATTTCGTCTTCTTGTACGTCACCACATGTCGCTATATGTCGCGATATGTGGTGACACATAGCGACAAAGTGCGAGCACCCTGACGCCTTGCATTGATTGCATCCGGCGGCAATGGTAAAGGATAGCCGCTTTGCCTGCCTCGCAGCACATTAGTCAGCACATGTCACAGCAGGCTCCGAGCTATACGTCAGCACATACGGGGGGTTTACTACAGGCCCTGCTGCCTATCGCTTATAGTTTGCAGCTTTAGCTATAGACACACAATATGATTCCTAAAACGCATTCTAGCGATCAGTTTATTAGGGACGCCTAATCAACAACACAAAACGCAGAAAACGACAAGTGATATTCTAGCCACCATCTATGAAACAAGATAATGGTAGTTGCTCTTACGTTTCGTGGAGGAAAACAGATGTCGCAGAGCCCCACAAGAAACCGAATTATATAAGTTTCTGAATTTCCAAGAAGAGCGAATCACGTAAAAAAGGTCGCGGATTCAGTTCCAATTTTCACTTGGAACTCCTTTACTTGCGAGCTGTGCAGATATACACTGAAAATACGATTCTGAAATATCATGATGCATTTGCTTCTAACACGATCAAACGTAAACCTACTTCTAACTTTGTCCACCTCAGACTTAACTTCACTTTTTATTCCCTCCAAAGTTTGCAGAAGGACCAAACCTTTATCGAAAATTCTCCTAAAAGGTCTGGTTCCTGCATATGCCAGGAATTAGTCGCTGTTATAGTCAAAATTCACTCCTTTGTAACCGCTTCCTTCCTCACTTCCTTTTTCTGGGATGTAATGAATGCGGAGAGAAGTTCATGTCATCGGCAACGGCTAACCTCAAATTATTAGTAGCTCAAATACCCAACAGGCCATAAAAACGGCATTGATAAAATGAAAAACACTGCAATGAGGAGAGCTTCAAGATTGTGTATGATAAGGAGCATGGTAATGATGGTAATGATGGTATATAATGACCAGTGCGTCACCTCTGCTTCGCAGAGGCTCGCACTGGCTCTACTATCCGTATGCCTCATTACTTTCCCATAATGATGACATTGAAACTCACCGCGCAGTGGCCGACTACCACGAATAGGATGTAAACAACCACTCATTTTAACAGCTTTTTCATGTGAGATCGGTGATTTCGCAAGGATGGAACTTTTCGTCGAAGAACAAATGCAAATTTGAGTGGGTTCCTGGATTTTTTATGGTTTGGCAGTTGCTATAAGGCCAATAGCCACCGTGAGCAACACTTCTGCGCAAAAATCTTCTCAAATGCGCCAGTAGAACCTTTTCAAATTGACCATTTACGCAACCAATCCATTTTGGCGTCATTTTTGCAAAGTAGTAGATTTTTGCCCATTATTTGGGCTAGAGTCCAAGGCTTGCACATTTACTTGTCAAACACCTCAACGACTTCGCAAAAAGTGCTGATAGAGACCCAATTCTGTGGGTCAGAAGCGAAGTGGACCCGTTTGACGCGCATTTTCTGTGAGTTCCACTCAACGAATCCGCTCATGCTTTTGCATGGTGGAGTTTTGTGCCTGATAGCATATGCTGTGCAAAATTTGAGCCCAGGACGTTTGCTGGAACACGCTCTAGGAATTTCGTAACAGACACACTCTCGCACACAAAGACAGACAAAGTCACGTAAACATCCTTAGCCCATTATTATAAGTTATGATGGTCCGCTCACCCGCTTGGGATGGGCCGCCGCTGGTCAAATCAAGGTCCGCCGCTCGCAAGCTCAGCAGCGAGATACGCCGCAAGAAAGCCACGCCCACAAATTAAAGTTCGTCGCTCGCACGGAAAGCCGTTAAGGCCCGCAGCTCGTGCGAGTTATTGTCTGTGTAGTTCTGAATTGACGTACTAATAGTTTAATCGCCAATTTTTGTGGGAGTATGTCGATTTTTTAAACTAAGCTTGCATCCATTGCAAGGAGAAAGGTTCAGAATTTTTGCACAACAACGAAATTCAAGCAAACTGTTTAACTCTTTACTTTTCCTATGATAAGTCAGCAATGAAACATGATTGTTGTACTATTTGACATTGAAATTTTGTATCTCTTTGAATCACTTGCTCACTGAGCTGCTTCTCAATCTTCTCCTTGTGTTGCTTTGATTTTCTAGATAAACGTCAATTGGCATAGATAATTCACCATAAACTATATCTTACGTCACTTTCCAGAAAATCTTGCGTATCTGCTAACTCTCCCAACAATGGATTCTGGGGTGAGAGACTCGCCACTTGAGTATCCTCTTCCTTCTTTTCCTCATCTTTCACCACTTTTTCCTTGTCTTTCTTCTCTTTTGTTTCACAGCTTGCTAGGGGCTCTTTTGAATCCTTCTTTGCTTCTTCTTTTGACCCTTCAAGTGCAGCTTGGCCTGCAACATATCCATTTTGCCTTCCTTGAAGCCAATTAAAGACTACCTGGTGGACGTGGACGTCTTCTTCGTGGCCTTTTATTACTATTTTCTTTCGAAGAGCAACTCGCGGAAGATGTTAATATTATCGTTAGCCATAAAATTTTACACAGCCACAACATACTGATCATTAGGGAATCCTGAGATCAGACATCCATTTTTCAAGGACCTGAAGGACCTGCTACTGCACTTACTTTCACGTTCATGTCGTGCAATGCCAAAGTAAACTATTTGCCGCGGAAAAAATTTAATAAATGAAACCTTACCACGATGCTTGGTGCTACTAAGGATGATACGCTCACTACTTTATCATCGTACGTCTCAATTTCATCATTCATTGTGAAATTGCTGCTTGGTAGACTGGTTCAAAAGCTCAATGAATGTGTATCACTTTATTGTTCTCGCATCTCACCATAGAAATCATTGATGTCTTTTCCGTACTTGTGTATAAACATTTGAGGAGCTATCGAATGTGTGCCCAAAGGCAGGGAATCTTTACGTTATGGATTATATCAGAATTTTAGTTTCATACTGCATAAAAACTATCAGCTTGTTAACCTGAGCAAAATTTATTTCAGTCACTATTTCAATCTTCCTGTGGTTGTAAAGTCATCTGCGCTCGGTTGCAGAAGTTCCCACCCGCCATTCAATGCTTCATTCATCATTTCCGCAATCCGTGCGCAAAATATTCAATTTATGGCGGAACTCCGACTTGAGGCCACTTTTGCCAACGAAGTTTCATCCTTTCAAATGATAAACGAAATAGTAATTAGAGAGAGAGCATAGTCACAGTGTGGAACTGATATGGAGAGATGGCACAGTCATGTCTACACACCTTGATCTGAAGCGATATTCTTTCGTCGGTCGCATACCTAGTGCACATATCTTGAAAATTTTGAAATTATTTTTGTTCATTTATATTCTATCTCAATATTGACTTCTACGATTGACATAGAAGTAATCATTTCATTTAGGCGTTATAACAGTAAACAGTGTTTATCCGCCTGTGCCAGCTTCAGTCCCGTAGCTTAAAAATTGCTGTTAATTCAATAGATCAATACCCAGCGATAACGAAAATTTGCTATGGCACCCGCTTATATTGGAAGCTCGATCCGGGTTGGCTCAAAGAATTTTCTATCTGGAGCATACTTTGAAAGTTTGGATATTTGAAGGATTACTTGTTACTATTTCGTTCTCAAGTGAAAGCATCTTGACGCACCGTTACTTAATTTTCACATGATACTTATCAGTTTGTGCCTGTTATAAAGCTTCTGTAGACAGCATAATTGCATTCAATTAATCAAAATTCCAGCTGATACTTCTTTAATGGTATCTAACTTGCATTCGTCAAAATGGAGTTACCTAACTTTGTATCAGAGAATTTATGTTTGCACTCGCGAACTTTTTTTAAAACACTGGCTCTACGAAGAATTGTTGGTGTGATAGTAAAAAATAGACCATTTCAGTCTGGAATATCGATCGATATACGCGCACGATCTACGCTGCAAACAGCCGATTCCTTTGTCTTACCAATACATCTCTTAATATCTGCAAAGTAGGTCTTTTAACTGTCAACTCTATGCGTCGTAAAGTCTCTAGATTTGATCCGTTTACACTATTATTCTCCTCAGTCTTTGACATAACAGTTCTGACTGTCGTAAAAACGACTTCATCATACTAGTAATTTCCAAATGCTTTGCTTTTCAACTTCTCGCAGAGCCGAACCCAGATGGCAGCGACCGATAGTATCGAATCGACCACGAGAAGCTGCTTCATCTCACTGTGTTCTATCATTTCATTTTGTTTTATGCAATCGTTTCAAATATTTCAGATTTCTCTCTATCTCATCATAACATCTCACATACTGATATATAAGATATCTATCTGTAGTGTAGAATCGCATTTTTTTTATTGAGATGTTTCAAACAAGTAGAATAGCAAGTAGGACCTCCAGACAAGTATTGTCGCAAATTTTGGTGAAAGAAAACCAATCTGTTTGCATTATTTGCAAAAATTCGTTAACTTCCTCGCACGTCTGCGTTCGTATTTCGCCCTCGTATTTTGCATTTTTAAAGAGAAAAGTTTTCCATTTCACATATAGCCGGATACTTTGCATATTTTACTTATAATCTATAGAATTTTTAGTGTTATCAATGGCTTCGTATATATTTGTCAGATGAAGTAAAAGGTCTGATTACCCAAGATTAAGTTAAAGGCACCGTCCACCCAAATTGGGGTTGGTGAGATTATGATACCTAGCAGATGCGGGGCCCCCGACTGTATGATTGCCCAACTCGCGCTGCCTGAAGTTGTCTCCGAACCGAGAAAATCGCTTCGGAAATCGCTTCAAGCCGTGTTCGCGACGCTGGCTCCTCCCCTTTCGGAGTGGGCGTGACGTTCGTCCCGCCCATCCGTGCGCGCCCAACCAATCACCGTACCGAAGAAGTCGCTCTGAGGGTTCTAAAACGGGGGTTTTCGTGGTTTTTGAGAATTTCCGACTTGATATTCAGAATGAGGGGTATGAGAAGGCCCTGGAACGGCAAAAACATGGAGGTCGAAATTTTGGGTGGACGGTACCTTTAAAGTACTGGTGTCGATATACGAACCTGCGTGGCAAGCGTTCGAGTGATTGGTGATATTCGAAGTTTAATAGTTTTGAAAATCTTTCGAGTCACTAACTCTATTACAGTGACTAGATATTTATCAGTATACACAATATGGATTCAAATGGGGAGGGGTCGACTACCCCGAGAATGCCAGTTCATTTGGGGTTGGACACCGTCGGGTCCGCTAAATGTCAGACTACGTAATTAAAGCTGTTCAACAAACATTTTTACGACAAACACAGTGAAAATTTTCGATGCAAAGTCTTCATCCGTACAATGCTTAGCCTTGGGATTATCAGCATAAATCTCAAAATCCTTCATCGCTTTTCTTTATACCAAAAAAGAGGTAAGTAGGGCGAAATGCACAGAATTGGTCGTAGATCTTTATCACATATACCATATACCACAAGCTTTTTATCAGGTACAGAAACAACCACTCAGCATCAGCACTTCGGAATAACTTAAGAATTCGTTTACATTGCTAAGCAGATTGAGATCAGCGCAAGTTGGTAGCCAAAGAGGTGCTGAAGCTGCTCGAAAAGCATTTGCACATAAGTGAAAGGGTATTAAATAAATAGCACTTCAGCTGCCCGAATAATCTCATAGATAACAAATCAACAAGGCTATGACTAGTAATTTACAGTATGTACATCTACAGGATAAGTCACAGTGTTATCACAGTATTAAGGCACAAACTGCTCCACAGATATGCCGATCTCTACGTTGCGATAGGAGAAGTTGTAAGTCTGTTGCGATATGTACAAGACTTGCTGTGCATGGGCGTTAATCCAATTGCGTAGGGCCAAATCCGAGCCGTGCACTTTCTCAAACAACAACGAACATCGCGGAGAGAAATGGCCTTTCTGAAAGTGCAACGCGTGAGCGGACTGTGTATTTGCCTAGTGATTATCTCAATCATTTAGTATAGAAAGGAAATATTGTTTGTCATATGGGTAAGTAGGGCTAGTGGACAGTTTCAAAAAGATTTTGCGCTGATTTGTTAGTGTTGAGTCAAATGATAAACTGGATTGCTTTCTTTCATATCCAAATCATGTTTTCGTGAGGTATTTGGTGTCTAAGGTTTTCCAAAAATGATGTTTCCAAACAAGCTAATATTTAGAAGTAATGAACCTTTGGCTTAGAATCAACAAAGAGATTTTCTAGCTTACAATTACCAAATTTTGAGAAAATTTCCATTTTGAAGAAGTATAACCTATACCGCCACCTGAATTCACGGAAACTATTTTGCGGAAAGCCGCAAAGATGCATGGGAAGTACCTCCTCTTTGACCTATTAGAGGCAAAAAATTTTTTTTGATGACAGATGGCTTCCCTTGAAAAGTCTCGTTCAAAAAAGAGACATGAACTGATATACAACCAATACAAATTAATATAACAGGTAAGGGATAATTTTGCGAGCTATAGAAAATGCCCTGCTAAAATACTGTCAATAGCAATTGATATTCTCTAAAACTAGAAGCCTATCGAGGTACACGTTGTAGAAATTTTCCCCTTGTCGGAATTGTTCAAAAAATTCTGCAATCACCTCTGAGATTAGACACACCAGATGCAAAGTAGGCACAAAACTGTTTGAAAAAATCTGATTTCACGGTAATTTTTCATGACAAGAAATTCCTACCTCGAATAACTCAAACATCTTTGGTAGCGAGAAATCCGTAGAAATTGAGTCCACCCAAAACGATTGTAGTCCCTCCGGGCACGCGATGGAAAGGGGAATTAACGCATCTATGGTCGAATCATCGGCAGTGATTGTTTTGGCAGCACTACGAATCCTAAAGAGAGCAAAAATCAGCTCTAGAGCCAAGAATGATGTCACTTTTTTGTCTGAAATTTGCCACTGTGTGAACCGCATTTCAAACCTTAGGCTCTCGATGTATTCGGGGTGCGGGAATACTTTCTTGACTCAATTTTTGAATTAATTCCTCTGTCTAGTGGTTTTTAAACTCATGCTTTCCCAAGAAGCGCTGTTTCCTGTTCAAACAGAGGGAAACTTCTTTCATGCGTTTTTTTCAAACCGGATCATCACTTATCGTAACGATTCCTTGTGTAATGAACCTATGTACTTGAGTTCGTGAATCTGTTTCATGCAGTCGAGCAGCGAGGTGACACTGTCGATGGTGAAGCAAGGGTCTAAAAATTCGAGAATCACACACAACAACTATTTGAATAAACAAATGATTTATTATGGATGAAAATCAGTACTCAGCAGACGAACGGCTAGGTAAATAAATATCGTTATGAGTGGGATACAAGTTGAAGAAAATAGAAGGATCGATAGTTATGAGGATTGAATAAATTGCTAATCAACTAACAGGAGAATCATAATAGAAGATATGGAACTCACCGATTCGAAGCGATGCACATTGCGGAGCTCTGGAGACTAGAGACAGTGCATCAATATCGCAGGCACTTTCGTATATTCCAAGCTGTAAACGGTAGAAATGAAAATCTTTTCTACAGCTCAAATCAAGAAAATAGAATAGTGGACTAATTTCATTTTCAATGTCGCGAACAAAATAACCTTTGATTCAACAAGCTTGGCGGCTAGAAAGCGGGCTTGACCTAACTGAGGCCGCTCGCACTCGCGACGCAGTTCTGCGTCTCTCCCGCGCGCGTGCTCTCTGATCATTACTTAGCCTTGATTAAGTCGAGGCCCCGCCTTCCAGCGGCCAGGCCAGTTGAACCAGAGGGTACCAAGACATGACCAGGAATTACGACTACGGTTGTTCATGCATACTATTACTAGGTTGGCCCACAAGTCTTGCACTGAAATTTTCAGAAATCGTAATTTTTTCTGGTTTCAAAAGAGTCGCTGGACTTGAAATAATTAGAAAAATATGCATTTTCTGAATGTCCTTCGAGAGAAATCAATATCATTCACGGTAACTACAAAGTGCTAGACGATAAAATCACCAAAGTTTTATTTTTCAAATATTGTCCGTAAAGAATGAAAATCCCAACAAAAATTTGTTCTAGTCTCGTTCATGTACCACGACCTACTTTTTCTATCTAAAGAGAAATTCGTAAATATTGGGTGCTTCTACGACTAATTGTAATTTTCGAGTTTTTCTCAGATATTCTGATTTGTTCCTTCTAAAATCTCTGGTATAACATTTGTCATATGTTGTACGAAGTTGTAGCCCAGATTGAGAAGTTTTTTGAATTTTTTGAGGGAACTTTTTCAGCGTAAAATTTATAGCAACCTAATGTATAGCTGATATCATGGCTCACCATCTGGATGCCTTGGAACCACCAGTCAGGAATTCCTTCTAGTGACTTTCGTAGATCATTCCTAGTAGCGTTAATATTCAATTTTTTCGGTGCATAGATCCATATACAGTCGAATAATCGTTCATAATCATGAATCTTCAGTGTTGAGACCATCTAAAATTGCCAAAAAGTGTTTATTTCTATTTTCGCCAAAAAATTCTCTACTGACCTCCCATGAAGGGAAAAGATGCGTAATTGTGGCTACGACTGCATCCTGGCCATCACTGATATAAATCTCTTTGACCCGTAGTCGTCTGAAAATCGCAAGAAAATCAAATATTCGAGCAAAGGCCAAACGAGGCCGATGACTACATGTGCACTCACTTCATCGCATGTCGCCGCCTGTTGATTATCTCCCTCCACTGAACGCACACTTGCTGGGCGGTGCGAAGATCGCTCGCATCTACGTTTTCCAGGATTTTTTCGGTCATTTCTGGAGGCAGATCGGCAAAGGAGGGTGATTCATTCATTGTTTGGGCGGATATGAGAGGTAAGGGGGTAAGGCTGAAAAAAAGAGTGGGTAAGCAGAGTAAAGAATACCTTCAGATAAATCGGCGAAAATCAAAAAAAGAGAAAATGGACGAACGAGGAAGACCTGATAAGAACTACAGCTATGAATTATGTATTTAGCTAGCATCAAACCATCCAAACAAAGACAACGAGAGGCGGGAAACAGGTGGAGAGGGGGTTGAGCATAATAGTGTCAAAAATAAAAAGACCCAAAGGACAAATTTCCAGACATGGTAAGATTTGTTGATGGTATCAATTAACGAAAGGTGCAGCACTATATGAACAAAGTAATGAAACCCGTTCTCATCTATGTACGAACTTTGATGACAAAAAGTAGAAGGACCCTTGAGGGGTACGACTTATACAACAAAGAAATAAAGGGAAGTCTATTGAAAACATATCTAGTCCTTTTCAGCTATCTCAATTATAGATAAGAATTTCACTATCACTATAATGGACTCCTCGAAAGCTCTACAACTACAAGCTGACTTGAATATTTTTGGAGTAATTAGCAGCGATTATTTATGGCCACATGAGGGCGCGCTGACAAATAAGGCGAGAATGATTTCTTATTCGCGATACATAACAACAAACCGCGAGTACAACTGTACTTTCCCTGGTAATGTAGAGCCTTGAGAAGACCCGTAGAGCGAGATACATTCTCCACGGACTTTGATGTTTTTTATAAGCGATATAAAAAAACTACGAGGTTTTTCTTTCTTGTTTTCAAAAGTCCAATGGGAGCCAGACTAATTTGTTTGTACTTTTTTTGTACTGCCGGATATATTGCATGATAGCTGTGAAGGCTCAAATTAGATAAGAATTAATGGTCTAGTACTTGAAGCAGAATAATCGCAGTTTTTTGACTATTACGCTGCTGTCAACAATTAGGAAAAGTCTGAGAGATAATGGATGCAGGCTGATGATGATGATGATGATGATGAAGGCAAATACATAAATTCTGAAGGTCAACAAACATTATAACTAGAAACAACAACCGCAAGATATGTCTGGTGCTCGTAAAATGAATGAAGAAAGAAACGTCACAAAAGAGACGATAAGAACATATAAAAAAATTTCTTGTATCATTGTTCATTTGCGAGAGACACAAACAATGAGCACTATTGAGCTCTTTGATATATCACACCGGACTATTGTTTAGATTGTCATGAGGCCGTTATAAAATCTTATAAAAAAATCAAATGTATTAGTAGTTAATATACAGAAAATCTAAGGAAATCTAATGAGTCCTATGGTGCGAATAAATGGTGTAAATGAGGCATGAAAAAAATAATCGGCATAGGCTTTCACTGTACATTTGAAAAACAAATGGATTTTCAGATCTAAATTATGGCGAAAAATATTCATCAGGTTTAATAATGCTACTGTCACAACAAACAATTAATGCATTGATATAACGATTCAGAAACGGAACTGGTTCGTTTTCCTTGGCAAAAAAATGACTAACAAATGCAAAATACAAACTTATTTTTCTAAAGGATATAGGTTATGATAAAAGAAATTCTAGAAATAAGAGTTAAAGTATCGCGTAAGCGTTTATTGATTTTTATATTTATACTAGCTGGCTTACCCGGCTCCGCCCGGCGCCACATACACTTCGGTAAAAAAAAGCCGAAGTTGTATTCCTCAAAAAGAGAAAACAACTTTGGCTCTTTAATTGTGGTTGTCCTCAACAGAGGCAACCGATGGTTGTCTTCAACAGAGGGCAACCGATGGTTGTCCTCAACAGAGGCAACCGATGGTTGTACCGATGGTTGTCCTCAACAGAGGCAACCGATGGTTGTACCGATGGTTGTCCTCAACGGAGGCAACCGATGGTTGTACCGATGGTTGTCCTCAACAGAGGCAACCGATGGTTGTACCGATGGTTGTACCGATGGTTGTCCTCAACAGAGGCAACGATGGTTGTACCGATGGTTGTCCTCAACAGAGGCAACCGATGGTTGTACCGATGGTTGTCCTCGATAGAGACAACCGATGGCTGTTCTCAACAGAGGCAACCGATGGCTGTCCTCGACAGAGGAAACCGATGGTTGTCCTCGATAGAGACAACCGATGGCTGTTCTCAACAGAGGCAACTGATGGCTGTCCTCGATAGAGACAACCGATGGCTGTCCTCGATAGAGACAACCGATGGTTGTACCGATGGTTGCCCTCAACAGAGGCAACCGATGGTTGTACCGATGGTTGTCCTCAACAGAGGCAACCGATGGTGTACCGATGGTTGTCCTCAAGAGAGGCAACCGATGGTTGTACCGATAGTTGTCCTCAACAGAGGCAACCGATGGTTGTACCGATGGTTGTCCTCAACAGAGGCAACCGATGGTTGTAACGATGGTTGTCCTCAAGAGAGGCAACCGATGGTTGTATTGATAGTTGTCCTCAACAGAGGCAACCGATGGTTGTACCGATGGTTGTCCTCAACAGAGGCAACCGATGGTTGTACCGATGGTTGTCCTCAACAGAGGCAACCGATGGTTGTACCGATGGTTGTCCTCAACAGAGGCAACCGATGGTGTACCGATGGTTGTCCTCAAGAGAGGCAACCGATGGTTGTACCGATAGTTGTCCTCAACAGAGGCAACCGATGGTTGTACCGATGGTTGTCCTCAACAGAGGCAACCGATGGTTGTAACGATGGTTGTCCTCAAGAGAGGCAACCGATGGTTGTACCGATAGTTGTCCTCAACAGAGGCAACCGATGGTTGTACCGATGGTTGTCCTCAACAGAGGCAACCGATGGTTGTAACGATGGTTGTCCTCAAGAGAGGCAACCGATGGTTGTATTGATAGTTGTCCTCAACAGAGGCAACCGATGGTTGTACCGATGGTTGTCCTCAACAGAGGCAACCGATGGTTGTACCGATGGTTGTCCTCAACAGAGGCAACCGATGGTGTACCGATGGTTGTCCTCAACAGAGGCAACCGATGGTTGTACCGATGGTTGTCCTCAACAGAGGCAACCGATGGTTGTACCGATGGTTGTCCTCAACAGAGGCAACCGATGGTGTATCGATGGTTGTCCTCAACAGAGGCAACCGATGGTTGTACCGATGGTTGTCCTCAAGAGAGGCAACCGATGGTGTATCGATGGTTGTCCTCAACAGAGGCAACCGATGGTGTACCGATGGTTGTCCTCAAGAGAGGCAACCGATGGTTGTACCGATAGTTGTCCTCAACAGAGGCAACCGATGGTTGTACCGATGGTTGTCCTCAACAGAGGCAACCGATGGTTGTAACGATGGTTGTCCTCAAGAGAGGCAACCGATGGTTGTATTGATAGTTGTCCTCAACAGAGGCAACCGATGGTTGTACCGATGGTTGTCCTCAACAGAGGCAACCGATGGTTGTACCGATGGTTGTCCTCAACAGAGGCAACCGATGGTTGTACCGATGGTTATGATGTCCTCAACAGAGGCAACCGATGGTGTACCGATGGTTGTCCTCAAGAGAGGCAACCGATGGTTGTACCGATAGTTGTCCTCAACAGAGGCAACCGATGGTTGTACCGATGGTTGTCCTCAACAGAGGCAACCGATGGTTGTAACGATGGTTGTCCTCAAGAGAGGCAACCGATGGTTGTACCGATAGTTGTCCTCAACAGAGGCAACCGATGGTTGTACCGATGGTTGTCCTCAACAGAGGCAACCGATGGTTGTAACGATGGTTGTCCTCAAGAGAGGCAACCGATGGTTGTATTGATAGTTGTCCTCAACAGAGGCAACCGATGGTTGTACCGATGGTTGTCCTCAACAGAGGCAACCGATGGTTGTACCGATGGTTGTCCTCAACAGAGGCAACCGATGGTGTACCGATGGTTGTCCTCAACAGAGGCAACCGATGGTTGTACCGATGGTTGTCCTCAACAGAGGCAACCGATGGTTGTACCGATGGTTGTCCTCAACAGAGGCAACCGATGGTGTATCGATGGTTGTCCTCAACAGAGGCAACCGATGGTTGTACCGATGGTTGTCCCCAACAGAGGAAACCGATGGTTATACCGATGGTTGTCCTCAACAGAGGCAACCGATGCCGACAGTCGTCCTTCCGTTTCGTTCCTCAAGGAGAGTATGTACCGTTTCGTTCCTACCCTCAGACGGTTTGGCTAAACAGGTCCTAGGCTTTCCCCGGAACTCATCAGTAAGGAGGGAAGCTCGACTGGATCTGTCCAGCTTCTTGTTTGTCCCACCCACCTGCCCTGACCGCCGCTGGCCGCCGTTTTTTTTTGGGTTTTCGTTTTGCCATTTTTTTGGATTTTGTATTTTCCAATTTTTTTGGATTTTCCAATAGAATGGCATGCAACAAATAAATACTGTACTATACTACAGCATGCAATTATGTTAGCGCCCTGGGATACACTACGTTAGCCGTGCTCCCTTCGGGCGCATATATGTACAGGTTCGCCGGACTCCCGACCCTCGAACACGCCACGTACAGTTGACCATGCGAAAAACAGGGAGTTTCCAGGTCTACTCCTACTGTTCGTAGAGACTGTCCTTGCGCTTTGTTGATCGTCATAGCAAGTGCAGGCCTGACCGGAAACTGCACTCGCCTGAACTCAAAGGGCATATCGGAGGGGACGAAAGGGATTCGTGGAACATGAACGACTTCGCCTTTGAACTTCCCCGCCAATATGGTCGCTACTATGACGTTTGGCATGAGATTCCTGATGCAAAGCCTTGTACCATTGCACATCCTCGGTGGGTTGATGTTACGAAGGAGCATGATTGGCAAACCAACCTTCAGATCAAGTCTGTGAGGTGGTATCCCATTGGGCTGGAGTGAATTCAAGAACTCAGTGGGGAAGTAAACAGCCTGTTCACGCTGAACCATGGTATCAAAGGACGTGTACGTTGATACCGGTCCAGGTAGGCTGTTTAAAATCTGAGCATTGATAGAATCCACTTGCTCATTTTTGGGTGCCAGAATTGCTCGCTCGCAAA